ACAGCCCCTAGTGATAGTGGTGAGGCCACGGCCACTGAACCCCCGCCGAGGTCGGTCGTTACATTTGTAGGCAGCAGGAGACCCACTGCCGCCAACTCGGAGCTACTTTCTGGCACCGTCTGTGTTTTGGGGAGTAATAAAATAAAAAGCAGAAGAAGACAGGTCAAAATGACTGACACCACTTGTTTGGTCGTGGTAATAAAAATCCTTCAGTGGACGCATGAATGCCCGCGAGGAGTGCTGGGCAGTCAATGGCGCTAACGTGATCAACAGACAGCCGCGTCTGCTGATTGGCCACCTCCTGTAGGCACTACAACTCCGGACTCTCCCTCTCTATTCCGCTGATGACGACTGCTGCTTATGTCAGGAGAACTGTGGGTTCGGTCCTACCTCGTACACAAGCAACTGTAATCCCCTTCTAATTAATGTTGCGACATCTTTGCTCGGTGGGTCCTCAAGCCACCGGAGCATCTATGAATACGAAAATCGTTCTCCTCGACGCTCGTTGTGAGACCAGACCTGTGGTTGACGCATAGGGTATTTTCGTCCGCAAAATGTGTCCCACCGTTCACCTTCTACTGATGGGCAGTAGAACAGTCAAGTGACGATTTAGAGTCAGAATTTTTAGACTACGATCATCACTCAGAGACTGACGAGTTCAGGACAGAAACAGTCTTTCAACCTGAGTGGTGCTCGTTTTTGATGCCGGCTTTTACACGCGTGCGTCTGTATGACAGTCGGATTCACCGTTTGTGTCTAGCTCTAGGATGCAAGTACGCTGAGTGAGCGGCAACGATTGAAGAAAACAAATTAGCGATCCAGAGGTGGGCGCGAGTTTCTCAGCTGGCGATGCGTGCCTGCCACCAGGCTTGATCACTAATGTGCTAGCGGCAGGACTGAGGAGATCACGACACATCAAGGCGGTCGCTGGGCGGTCAATCAACTGGCCAGCGTAACCAGCTGTCCAAGTGCACCACACAATGTGGACACATTTTGCATGTCAGTTCGATCACCGCGGATGACGATGTCCACCATACGCCCCACAGTGTAGTGGATGTAGAATTTTGACTAACACACAGTCTTTTCGCCCACCTGTCCGAGCCTGGTGACAAGACCTTCGCAGGCGGGATCGGGCTGAACAGCCGTCTGCGCGTGCCACACACAATCTGGTCTTCAGAGAATGCAATAGGCCTTGATGGGGGCTTCTCGGACTTCGCATGCGTAGGAGTGTCAGAAATGTCGAACGCAAACTTAGCCTACCTCAGTGATCGACTCTTCTTCATCAACTGAACCATCTACGAATCGCGTTAGGAGAGACGTCACGAAAGCCATAATGCCCGCAGACAAAGTGCCGCATGGTACACTGTCTCTGATGATGGATTCGAGTGAGAATCCGAAGTGTCAGGCCAATAAAATTCTTTTCCCAGTGATCACATCTTCGTCTTCTGATGGTGGATTTCGTCCACGATCGTGTGTGGCATTCAGCGGTCTGTCCCCATTGCAGGACAGACTGTAGGCTTTCAGTCTTGTTCTGCGGATCAAGTAATTTGTGGCCTAAGGACGAATAACTCATGCATAAAATGCTGACTGACAGAAACCGGAATAACCGTTTCCCGACTCCGAGAAGAGGACTAACTGACTGAGCGCTCGTCAATATAAACCAGTATATCTACATGACTGGTCGGATAATCA